AGAAGCTTCTTATGTGGGACCAAGAGAGGATCAGGTTAACAGTTCCTGGATTCTGATATAACACATGATTAGAGAAGAAAGTGGCTTATTTTCATTCAGCTGTCTTCTACATTATCTAGTGTTTGAAAGTCCAAAGAGTCCAAAGAGCAACTATGTTTTATTTCCAGTTTTTTTTCTTTGGATGGTAAAAGGGAATGAACATCAAATTGTTTTAGTGCCTTTTCTACTTCCAAGCAGTAGTTTGCTGAGGTTAAAACTATAAAATAACAGCATCACAATCATTTGCATTGACAATGCAAGAATATATTTTAGAGTAACAAAGTTCAATAAACTCTATTTTCACATTTTCTGATTATTAGATTTCTTTTGGGCACCCCATAACATGACTGATGTACCGGCTTCTCTCCACGTGTTTTTGTATATATATATATATATATATATATATATATATATATATATATATATATATATATATATATATATATATATCAACTGGGCTGAACATTTATGACACTGATGATTGTGATAAACCATCTAAACATTTGACATTGAGAAATACTGTTCATCACAAATAAAACTCTAACTTGTTACTTGACAAGAACACAAGCCTGACAGCTCCTCAGATGATACACTAGCACAGGAAAACAAAGCGTTAGGTTGTTGTTTAGCCGACGTTCCAGAGGGATATCGGCTTGTAATTATACCCACTAACACATCAAACCACAGGTGAACTGCTATCTGAGGTGTTGATGAATACACTTTTACAACAACAAATGATGCAACCTTTTTCCTTGTGACTTTTGAAAATTATCTCGAATAAAAACTTGACAAATTCAAAAAATAAAAAGAACAAAACAACAATCAAACTGTGTTTTTAATGATGTTGTTCTGTTTGAAAATTCAGGATAGATATAAACCTGAACATTTCAGCCTGAAATCTCGCGGTAATCCTCTAGCGGCAGTTTTTATTCTGAACTGTTTTAATAAAAACAGCTGTTATCCAGTGACAGTAACAGTGGAATTAAAAACAACAACAAGTTCATTTAGATACTGTTATGTGTCTATTATAGATAAAGGAAACTATCTTATCAGAACAAGGCCAGTTATTTTTACAAAACTTTGCAAAAAATGCACACAACCACTGAACTTTCGTAGTTGTAATCACTCAGGGTTAGATGATGATGCTTCCACCACCATGTTTCATTTAACTCTATTCAAAAACACTTCATTAATAAATAAGGAAATTAATTGATAGAGAGTTTTAAAAGGCTGATGCATAAATATGTAAATCAAAAAGTTCATTTTAGGTTGTCTGTCCAGAAGACTGTCATCTGTTAACTGTTTTGACTTTATGTCAAACTGTAAACAGGAGTTTTACTTTCATTGCTTCAACAGTGACTCTCCTTTCCTCTCCTCCATAAACACCACAACTCACAGCAGTGGTGAAGTGTTAAGTTTTAAATATTGTTTTATTTAAAAAAAACTGAAAATGTTAGAACCGGTAATTTACAGTCATATGTTTATATTACTGTTTTTATATATATTTTTTTACTATTTTTCAAGGCTGCACATAAAAAAAAAAATGAAGTTGTCCAGAGAGCTGTTCTAAATTAAATTTCTTTTTGTTTTACAATTGTGTAAACAAAAAGACACATCTCTCAGTGTCTATAACTTCATGCTGCGTTAGCATCTCTTCATGACTGTATGTCTGCAGTGTTTCTGACCTGAAATCACAGAAATCCTTTTCAGCACATTGCAGATCCTGATGTAGAGGCGCGCTCAAGGACTGGATGTGTTAAAGCTTTTTTTTCAATCAAATTAAAAGATAAAAAAAAAACAATAGTGTCATAGTATATTAAGGCTTTAAAAGTTTTGTTTGTGGCTTTCCAAAAAATCATTTTTTTAATTCAATTTTTATACTTTATGTTGCAATTTGTCCTGTTTTCTTTTAGTTAATCAGATAGAATTTTTATAAAATGGACAACATTTTGGACTATAAAATATTTTGCCCACTAATGTGCATTGCAAACAAGAATTTCTTCATTTCTAAATTTGTCCTAAACAACACAAAGAAATGTCGGATCAGTTTAGCCTGTTTGATCAGACCTTAAAAGCCCCAGCTGTACGTATCTCAGGACATTTCTCTGCTTAGCTTTTCTCTTTCCAACACATTTCTTATACACAATTAGACATCCTCTCAAACGTGTTATTTGAAAGACAAAAAAACCTGAAACTCCAGTAAAGAGAATTCAGTGACTTTGTATTCAAAGTGCATCCACCTTCTTGTCGCACTGAAAAACTGATTCACAAACATCTTCAGACGACTACAAGAGCATATCGTGACTGATGTGCTGAAAGAACAAAGCTTGAATAGTTATTAGCAAACTGAAAACAAAAAATGTATGGAAACCTGTTCAATATTCAGCCCTTTATTTTAAAAAGTTCACGGATCGCCACCTAATTTTATTTTTTTTTACCTCTGAAAAAGAAACACGGCTATTTGCACCCAGGCAACTTAAATAGCCTTGGATGAAACCAGTCAGATGAAGGGTTGCCTCAGGCTTTACTTTGAGCTGTCCTGCATGTACCACCTGTTTACAGCAGCTCATTGAGATCAGGATCGTGGCTCTGACCAGAACCTGAACTCGGCACCCTCTGTTACAACTCATGATGGATGCTTTGATGCTGAACCCTGAAAGAAAGCATCACCAAATTATGATCCTCTTCCATTCTCCACTTAAGGGCTTCCTCTAAATAAAACTGTACCCAGGTTATCCCAAACCTGACCTCTGTTCTGGTGACCAAACAATTAAGTTTTAGATAAATTTAACATTTCTGAATCTCTAGTCTTTGTTTAAGGTCTCTACTCCTAATTTTTCTCTTGCATTGATGTTTTATTTCTTAAAGATCAAAGGTTTCCTTCTTGTACACCCCTCCAATGACACTTTGACTTGTGCAGTTCTATACTGATTGTAAAAGTTCACACTTCTCCATTAAAAGCACTAACAGCCTCTCAAAGCTCTATTGTTTAGATATTACTGAGTTTTAAGACTGATGTTTTAGCATCTTCCATTCTGCTCTCAAAAAACTGTTTGGGAATGGTCTTGATTCATCAGGTAGAATATTTTGCTTGTATTGAAATTCAAATGAATATAAACCCCTTATCAGACTGACAACCTGAAGGCCTCAAACATCTCTTCTGATCTCACCATCATATTTGCTCTCATTTCACAGTCAGGAGCAAAAATCTAATGCTGAGTTCATTGAAACATTATAATTTTTACCATGTAAATGAGTGGGATTATAGCCAGGTAGCTTATTTACATCTCTGGTCTGTGAAACTCACTGGTGTAATGCTACTAATAAAATAAAGAAAAAGAACATAAAACATATATACTAGTTTAACTATGTCAGAGGTTTAATAACGGAAAAATATTCTTTAGGCAGCTGATGAATAATGTTCATTTATTCTGTACATGATAATGTGCAGAAGACATGTTAATCACCAGATATTCCATTTTGTTTCATTATTTTTACAAAAAATTATATATAAATAATAAAAATGCAAGTTTTATAGTGTTGTTACTGCTCACATTTGTAAATATAGGTTACATTTATATTAAATATTTGAATGCTCTATATATTTCACAGAGCTTTATATTTCATTGTATTGCAAATCATTTTCATATTTTGTAAACTCTTTGAAAAATATGTCTTCATTCGAAAGAATAAGTTAAACAATATATTCTACGGACAGCTGGACTTTTGATTTTGAATTCTTCCCACAAAAATTGGAAAATCACAAAAAAATGGCAAATATACCTTCTGTCAGACAGAAAAAAAAAGAAAATCAAACCAAACATTGGTGAGAGCTGTAGAGGTTTTGACAGCAGGTAAAAAGCTGAGGCAGGCAATTAGTTTAAAAAAAAAAAACAAGGTTGAACTAAAATGAAAGTGAAGAAAGCAATATAGAATAAATATCTTCTGATTTTATGTGCTGGGACATGAAAGCAAGCTGTTGCACAGTTAGCTTTGCTTATATTCAGATAGGATCTTAGTGTTAGAGGTGCATCAATTGACATAATCTGGCTAATAAACCATTTTTAAAAAGGCTAACATGCCGATTTAGATTTTGACCGATGTTTACTTTAAATGTTTTTTAGAAGATCATAACACACCTTGATTTCTATCTCATTATATTAAAAAAATAAAGAAAATTACCTGTTAAACAATAAAAACTTGCTTTAATGGCTCAAGATAGGGTTCTAGATGCTTAGATGTGAAACATCTGATCTCCCAAAATAAGAAAATCAACCCATATTCACCCCGACTGTTTATCTGCTATATCTGGGGTCTCCAGAGTCACAAGTTCCTCTATGAAACTGTGTCTCACCTAATATATGAACAATTAACTATTGGCCCATTTTTGGTTTAATTTTTTTGTTCAGTGCCTCCATAATAAAACTGACCCTACCCTGGCCTCTCTGGTAACTTGGGTCTAGAATCGTCGCTGCTAAGAAATGAGGAGCTATGTTGCAGTAAACTAAAATAGGACTCCAAATCCTCTCACATTCGTCTCATGTAGTTAGTTTAGGTGATGTTTTTGAGACATAGAACAGAAGACACCTTTTGTGTAGAGCTAAATCAGAAACAGCTTTGCATAATCTCTATAATTAATGCTTAGGATACAGGACTGGATGATAGGTTTGCAAACCTTTACAATCATTTTATTGCAGCTTTTTACATTTTGGTAATACAGGACAATAAGGAGAAAAAGCTAAAACTTTTAGCAGGAGTGTGCACATTTGTGTATAATTTTCTATGGGATATTAGCACTCTGATGTTTTAGAGATGACAAGAAACACTAAGTCTTGCATCATACATAATGATAATTGGGGTGGAGGGTGATATGAGGAGGAGGAGGAGGAGAAAGAACAAGAGGAGCAGAGAAATGCAAAGGAGGGTGTATTGCATGCAGATGCAGCAGAGAGTAAGGAGCTTAGCAGGCATAAAAAGGAGCAGAGATAAGCAGCAATTGTTAAGAAGTCACAGTGAGTCCAGTTAGTGAGGTTAACAGCTCTCCCTGTGCCCCACCCTGAAAGATCATGGAGGACAACCTGGACAGGGCTGAACTCTGCTACCCTCAGCTCCTGAACAGGTCCTGCAGCGGAGTGAAGCGACCTCGCTCTGAGGCCGTCCTGCTCTACACGCTGCTCTCCTCCATCACCATTGTCACTGTTGCATTAAACCTGCTGGTGATCATCTCCATCTCTTATTTCAGACAGCTGCAGACCCCCACCAACATGTTGCTGCTGTCCTTGGCCACCTCAGACCTCCTGGTGGGGCTGCTGGTGATGCCGGTGGAAGTGGTGCGCTTCATTGAGCCCTGCTGGCTGCTGGGGGAAGCCATGTGTGCTCTGTCTTACATTGTTGGCTTCACTCTCACCTCAGCCTCTGTGGGGAACATGGTGTTGATTTCGATGGATCGTTACGTCGCCATCTGCTTTCCCTTGCAGTACGCCACTAAAATCACTCGTAGCAGAACTGAGGTATCTGTGAGCCTTTGCTGGGCCTGCTCTCTCCTGTACAACGGCGTCATCTTAAAGGACCATCTCAGGCAGCCAGACAGATACAACTCCTGCTACGGGGAGTGTCTGGTGGTCATTAGCTACGTCTCAGGAACCGTCGACCTTGTGTTCACGTTCATCGCCCCTTGCTCGGTTATCGTCCTCCTGTACATGAGAGTGTTTGTAGAGGCGGCGTCGCAGGCCAGAGCCATGCGGTCTCAGGTGGCAGCCTTCACAGTCACAGCAAAGAAATCCGAGAAGAAAGCAGCCAGGACTCTCGGTATCGTTATATTCATGTTTCTGATGACTTTCTGTCCGTATTATTACCCGTCTCTTGCAGGGCAAGACATCTCCAACAATGCCTCGTCTTGGGCTATCGTGTCTTGGATGGTGTATTTTAATTCCTGCTTGAATCCAATAATATATGCCTTTTTCTATCCCTGGTTCAGAAAAAGTATTTATTTAATAGTCACCTTAAAAATCCTTAAGGATGACTGCTCTCACATAAATATACTTTAGAGCAGAGATCAAATATTAGCGGAATGCGGTCCGGATCCAGACCCAACCTGATTTAAAACGTTTATAAATTATTGCATACAGCAGTGTCTAACTTCACTTGCACCGCTTCTCCTGTTAATATCAATATCAAAGATGACCCTGAACATTTAGAGGATGTTTGGCTCAACCTGCTGCTGTGAAGCAGGATTCTCCACCATGAACAGAATCAAAAATAAATATGGATCCAGGCTCAAAATGAGTACCTTGATATGTGCTTTAGAATGGCTTTGTCCCAATTTATATTGGGAAAATTCTTTTTTTTTATGTCTTTTTATTTAAAATTCAATGTATAAAATGGATGCATAAAACCCTGCTTTTTATTTCAGTGTTTAATTCTTTTTAAAGTAACAGATTATAATTATAAATGTCTCCGGACCTTCACTGGTTGATGATTTTCTTTATTCAGACCCCACTAATTTTTAATTGGTTACACCTGCTTTAGAGAGACTAAAAATTTGTAACTGTAATCCGGCAGGAGAAACTCCTGTCACATGGTTTTAGAAGCAGAACTGGGACTTATTATGCAGCTGATTATTGTCAGCAGAGATATGAGAGAAAATAGGCTGCAGCTAAAGCAGGATGATGATGATGATGATGATGATGAAAGGTTTCACTGCTTATATCAAAAGGTTTAAATCATTAACATGTTACAGTTTGAAATTACCAAACCATTCTCCATATTTAATTTTTGGACATATGCTAAGACATTTAAAGAGAGATTTTAAATAAGTAATTAAGTTTATTTGTAAAATTGTAATAGACAAAACTTTAATAAGAAATATCTTGATCTTAAAATCTAGGCAAGTGATCAACTTCATGTATTGCTTCCTCTTAAAAATATTAAAGCATAGATTTGATCACTGCATTCACTTTCTGATCCTCAATAAAATATAGTTGTATTAATGCTTGTAAAAAAAAATAAAAACTCATGGCTTTTGCTTCTTTAATGGGGTCAATTTTTGTTTCCTATACTTGTAAAGGATCATTTTTAAAAATAAAAAATAAGTTTTATTTCTCAGAAATACTGGACTCACTCATAAAACAACCTAAAATTGTCTGAGACCGTTTCAAATGTGTAGGTGAGAACTAGTTGAGATCACAGGGTCAATATGACTGTTTCTCTTACTAGCTGATTTCACTGGTTAGATCAAAGTTATTTTGGTCTTTCTTTAGACATAATCTTAAAATATTATCAAAAGTTTCATGGATTACACTCTTAAAAGAAAAAAATATATATATTACAAGCCCCAAAGAAATCCTTTTATTAGTGCTTTCATGGTATTACATATTTTTCCCAATCTAAAATGTAGATGTATTAAAAAATAAAAAACAGGATTTAATAAAAAAGAAATACGTTTTATTCTTAGTTAAAAACCAATGTTATGAAGTCATAGCAAATATTATGAATCCATTTACAAAATCTGGACAGACATGAATCAAGCTGAAATATAAATTACATCAGAGAGGAAAAGCTATTAAACACTAAATGAAGGTTTTCTTTTTAACAGGTAGATGCAAGATCTTTGGATGCAAGTTAAATGCAACAATAAAATAAAATTTAGTTTATTTCCATAGAAAATTGAGGAAATATAGATAATATTTAAAAATAGAGGCTATAACAAACCTTGTGAAAAATATGAAACAATTAAAAAAACAATGCGGGGGGGTCGTCATCTTTTGGATAAAGAATGGAGCTCTCTTACTTCTGCAAAAGAGGAGAGCAAAGAATACGAGATGTCTGTTAAACTACAGAACAGGAAAATACTGATATTATTACTTCATGGTTATATATAATTTATATAGATGTATTACTAGAAATAAAATTACAAGATGACTGCCATTTCCTAGACTAAAAGTAAAACTATGTTAACAGTTATTCCTAGTTATGATGTAATAATATGCAACATATACCAGGGATTTCATGGGGCCAAAAGTCATCACAGGCTGGACAGTGAGGCTCCATTCTTCCTTTGAAGTATCTGGCCACGCAAGGGTTGTGGATTTTTATTCCACAGGAGGGATTCTCACAAATCTGGCACTTTGGTAAAAGAGGAAAGAAGCTTTATTCTACCGTTAACTTTCCATAAGTTTCTAAACTTTTCTGTATTCAATATAACAAGCTTTTTTTTTCATATCTGAACAACTTTAGGCATTTATGGAGATGTATTTTTAAAACAATAAAACCAAGGACTGAATAGAGATGATCCTTTTTATTGAATAAATTCAATTTATGCTTCTTCTTCTATGTTTAGCAGTTGGATAGTAAGTAGTTAGGTGAATCTGCTATATATATATATATATATATCATTGAGTTGAATCTGCCAGTCCTTTTTTTAAATCTGTTTCTGGGGATGAAGTGATGAGCTTTTAAGAGACAACAGGAACCATTGAGTAACTGGGGAGAGGGCTGCATTAACAATAGAGATGCACTGATCCGATATCAGAGATCCCATTAATTCAAAACTGTATTTCCTTTATATTTGCTGACTCCTTGTTAATAAATCAATGAAGTACATTTATATATCTGTGTTTATTTTAATATCTTTTTTTAACATACGATCAGTATCGTATTCGTAGCAGGAAATAAATGGATCAGTGCATCTCTAACTAACTACAGCTGGTAAAGCACGCAGGTGGAAATAAAAAGACACCAAACAATATATATATATATATATATATATATATATATATATATATATATATATATAAAATCACATTGAATGAATTTGAACTTAATTTTAGAAATAATATTTTAATTGACTTAATGATTTTTAACGACCTGTGGAAACCCTGTTGAAGATTATTTCTGTAATCGCTTAATCCCATTATTTTTTCACACCTAATATATGTTTAGTTGGAATAGATTTACCTGAAAGGCCATGTTGTGACATATGTGGCAGACTTTCACCTGGTCTTGATACATTGCACGGATATATGGCTCCATCTCTATGATACATCGAGTGGACAGATTGTACTCCCCCTGGCTCTGCATTCAGAAAAAACAACATTTTAAACAAAAAAAACACATTCTCAAAGCAAGGAAAGAATTCATCAACCTTTCCTACTTTATCTCTGTAGGTATAAACTTCACCGTATTCCCTCAACACAAAGAAACATGCCATGCTGTTCAACCCTGTGGGATTTGTTATCATGTTGTTCTTTTATAACATGGAGATAAAATAGATTAAGTATTTTTAAAGATGTCTTCCTTTTCTATGTGTTATAACAGAAAAACTGAGCATGCTGAGGATAACTGGAATCAGAGGCTCTGCAGCACCGAGGCTCTCCTCTGTGCTCATGCTGAGGTTGTGCATAGCCGTAGCTTGCGCCATGTTGGCTTACACCAGTAAACTCTAGTCCTTATTTATACATGGTAAGTTACGAATAACTAATCTGTTTAAAATGAAGTAATGACTAATGCAATACTGAGTTTAACAAATTCACTAGTAACAGTAACTCTGCTGGAGGTACCATACTCCCAAAACACACAATATGTGATCGAGGAAATAACAGAAGCAAGCAAGTCAACGTTTCCCCATGTATGCATGGAAACAAAGAAAAGTCTGTGATCAAGAGTCAAAAAGCGCAAAAAATACTGCATGAAAGAGGGATAATAATTGAGCAGAATATAATATGGACATTGGGGCTAACTGAAGTGGGAGCTAAAGCTGCTAGAATGAAGGATGCCTGAGTACTGCTGGGAGATGGCAACAGATAACAAGATCGGACACTTGGTCTATATCATTTCATTTTAAAATTAATGTATGGTTTCTGTGTTTTTTCCCCCCAGATATGTATAAAATTCAACAGGGCATCTTTAATGAGACAAGCAGCAAGAAGGCCCGATGTCTCCCTGGAGGGGCTGCTAAGGTCCACAGCTCAAGTGTGGGAGATCAACTGCCTTTTTTAGAGCGGAGGTTATCCTGCCAGCAGATCCAGACTAAACCACTGCTGCTGCTTAGTGGTTGACAGTAAAATATGTTTGGATGTGCTGTAATGGCCCAGTCAAAGGCTGGACATAAGATTTATTCGATTTCCAAGCTTCAACAAAATGCATTGAAGTTTGCTGTAATGTGAGAAAATGTGACACAGTTTGAACATCATTACTACATTTGTAGTCAGCCTGCTTTGATCCAATTAGCTGACTAATACATAATTCAAATTTAGACCGGCTCAGATGTAAAGATGTCCAACAGAAAGCAAAAACAGAAAGGGTTCTTATTTCACCTCGCAGAGCCACTTGTCCTGAACGAGTCGAAGCAGAAGCTGCTGTGTTTCACCTTTCTTCAATTTTTTAGATGTCATCATGTCGGCGCTGTTCAGAATGTCAGTGGAAGAGGCCTTTCCGTTCTCAGAGCTAACAATTAAATCCATCTGAATTAGGAGAGATTAACAACACATTTTGGTGGACAAATCAAACACTATAGTCATTCCTAAACATAAGTAAGCATATGTTACCAGATATTTACAAATATTCTTAATAGAATTGATATTCAAGATCGATTTACAGCATTTAATTAAAACTGGAAGCTAAAACTGAAAAGACTTTTCTCACTATCTTTCTGAACAGTTCCAGTTCGTTGTCCGCGTAATCTGACGTCATCCTGGTGATGTCAGTTTCCGCTGTGTTGACCTGCAGGGCATCACAGAGTTTCTGTTTTATTTAATCCAATGCCATAATCCCCACATACACATAAAACAATGTTTGCTTTACATCTCCAGATCCGTAAACCCACTGACCAAGGCGTAGTGCTGTTGGCCATCTTCCTCAGACATGCCTTTTCTAATCTGCATGAACATGGGCTGCAGCCTGGAGTTGATGGCTTCAATGAACTCTTCCAGTCTGTCAGGAGCGCACTGTGCTGCAATAAAAAAACACAAAAAAAAAAAGATTTTCTATGAGAAATTTAAACAACTTTAAAGCAAATGTTTGCAGCTTTCAAATGTCTACATTCAGTTAAAACAAAGTACATTTATTAATAGATTTATACATTTCTAGTTAACCTCATCTATGTCCAAATAAAGTCACAAAGTAAATATTTTCGTACTCCTCTTTCAAGTGATGTAAACATTTGGCCTAATGATCAGAGAGATGGACATTCACAGGGCTGCCAACTTTTCATCAAACCTTGGGCTGAGATTTAGAAACAGTTTGGATAGGAAACCCTGTCAGGGTTACATGAGGATGCAGCTATAGGTTGGTGGTTTTCAGAGGATTTAATTGAAACAAAGCGGCAAAATGTGGAACTTTTATAGCACAGTAAATGTTACTGAGTAACAATAAGTGGTCCGTAGTGATGTGGAACATTTTTCTCACAATATATATTATTTTCTACATTCTGGTGATTTTTAGAGGATTAAAGTAAAGCACAATGGACCCTACTAAAATACTTGCATATTAAATATACTTTAAACTAAGACGTTCACAACCTTGCTCATTAATTATTCTCTGCAGTTTAAGTAAATTAAACAATAGGCAACTAATAAGCTATTACTGGATTACTGGCACCGATACAGGAACCAGTGCAATCGAAACCTATGCCAACTTCACTGTGTATGAATATTTGGTAATAGGCTAAGGATTAAAAATCTTAAGTTATTATCTTATTAGTTTTTTTTTTGACAAGTGACAAAACAGCTAAACAATTCATACTTCTAGAAGGCTGTAGATTCAGTATAAACTCACCATGACAGGAGACAGCACTTCTCTGGATGTTTCAGTTTGGAAAGTGTGATGAAAATAAAGTTTTTAACATTTTCAATGGACCAAAATAAACATAAATGAATATGATCAGTAATAATAAAAGAAGAACATCCCTGGATAACTGAGCTGCACATCCTCTCTGGATGCGGTTGGTCTTTTCTTGAGTGGCTGATCTTATCAAAAATAAAATGCAATTTGTTTTTTTTGTGGAGTTTCTATGGGTTTGAGAGGTAAACATGAAAAGCTTTAAGTATTAAAATATTTGTGTTGGTTTAATTACTCCTAAATGCCAAATGGAGATTATTAAACTAGACGGAGTTGAGTTTTAATTCCTGTCATTTTTTAGTGTGGGAAATTGGGAATATGAAATGAGAGCGTGTGAAAACACAGAGATGGGTGAGTCTCACTCCCAATGGGTGAGAGTTGACAGCCCTGCATTCATCAGAGATCACTGATTGCTGATCCAGCTGCCATCTTCAGTCAAATCTTTATTAAAGGGGTAGAAAAGATTCTCACTTTTGTGCGTTTCACAGCAGTGCTGATAAAGTGTCTTCGCTTCTTTTTCACTGGTGATGCCAATGGTCATCATGGTCTGCAGAAACCTCCGATGGTGGTCACCCAGCTGCCTAGACATGTTTCCTAACAGAGAGAATCAGGGATTATGCAAACAGAAATCATGTTAGTTTTCTGTTTGCATAACATCACCAGCTATAACAAATACCAATGTTAAACCCATAAACTCTAGTTTAGTCTTTGTAAACATCTACAGAAAGCAAATAAAGTGATCAAGAGCATCAGAAGAACACCACGGTTACCATATTACACATAAATAAATATCATCAGTCCATTCTGTTCATCACTTTTCCATTATTTAGATTGTCTGCAATTAAAATAATACTAAATGATGATATGTATTGAGTTAGAATGCATTAGATCTAATCTCCGCTGTGTAACTCCATTAAAAACAAAAAAACAGCATTAATGCACGTTTAAACTTCTAACGTCTTAGAGAGTAAAACATCATCTAGGGCAGAGCGGAGATCCTTAAAACACATTGTTTCATTTTATATTCAAATACTTACCCGCTTTTCAAACAACACTGACAATCGACCCCCCTTTTATAAAAGTGAACAGAAAAAGGAATAGTTTGCTAACCTGCTTTCTTTCGGTTTAGCGCGTCTTCAGTTTTCTTCTTCTCGTGTTTAATGGCGGCTGGAAAAAAAACTGTAAAGGAGCATTAGCGCCACCACCTGGACTGGAGTGTGGCGAGGAAATTAAAATAAAATACCAAACTAGATTCTTTCTAATGTTTGTATTGATCAAAAATAGCATTACTTGACGTTTCCTTTACTTATATAATCCCCCTTTTATAGTAAAGTCATTAATTACATTTAGCATTTCTTAAACATGTTACCTTTAGAGTTGGTCCTCCATAGGGTTGATGGGACAGGTGTTGTGAATGAAACGGTGCCCAGCTTGAAAGAGCTCCTGTGTGTTGCTGAATGTGTGCACTGATGACTGA